GAAGTGCAACGGGCGCTCTTCATTCGCGAGTGCCGATGACCAATGATGCTTGCAACCCTCCCACACCCTTTCTGGCTTGGCAATAGGCCCAGAAAAACGCAGCCACGTGACCCGGTGGAAGAGAAACGCTCGGAACGAGCGCTTCTAGCCTCAAAACGCGCAAGGATCCGCACATGTGCAGGAAGTGCAGCGGGCGCTCTTCATTCGCGAGTGTCGATGACCAATGATGCTCGCAACCCTCCCACGCCCTTGCTGGCTTGGCAATAGGCCCAGACAAGCGCAGCCACGTGACCCGGTGGAAGAAAAACGCTCGGAACGAGCGCTTCCAGCCTCAAACACGCAAGGATACGCACATTGTGAGCAAAAAACGGTCGAAATCATAGGCGCCGAACTTTTCTTTGCGCAAGAACCAATCCGACAAGGCTCGAATAAGTGTATTTGAACATGAGCGACTTGAATATGCAATAACATTCAGATTGTTGATTGTTTTTTCCTACGCCTTTAGGGATTCATGCGCGTTGTAAGCATTTGTCGACAAAAACAGCCGAATGGTGGAGATGATGGCACAATGGTGGAGATGATGGTGTTGGTGGAGATTAGGTGTTGCTGGGGAGAGATTAGGGAGAATGCGAGGACACGGAGGGAGGGGCGAGTAGGGACTTTGAAGGTCAATATGAAAGGAGAAGGGTAGAAGGATGGCAGTGGTGGTGGAGCGGTACCAAGGATGGTGGTGGTGGGAGTGGTGGTGGAGGTGGAGGAGGAGTGGTATCAAGGATGGTGGTGGTCGTAGTGGTGGTGGCAGTGGTGGTGGAGTGGTATCAAGGATGGTGGTGGTGGCAGTGGTGTCAAGGATGGTGGTGGAGGTAGTGGTAGCAAGGGTGGTGGTGGTGGTGGTAGTGGTGGTGGAACAGTGCTAATTAAGACAAGACTCTTCAAGGAGTCTGCAGAGCAGTCGTCATAGGTGGCATCCATTGCGCTATAGAATCTCGAATCAACTTTCGAAATTGATGGTCGTTGATATGCAGATATTCAGCATGAACCATGTGAGCGAGACTGACAGTATGACAACGATGTGCAATAGCACAATGTGAGAGAATGCGATTTCAACCGGTGGCAGACATGCACGTGGCTCTTGCATGGGTACGAAAGACAAGATTTCACAAGTTAACATGTTGACGGATTCAACATTGTAGCACGAGGATGTGGCAGGTGCAGCATGGCCAGGAGTACAAAGATCGTGTCTCCCATTGATTGCATGAATGCTGATGGAGTTTGTAATGCTCTATAAATGTGGCCAGTGGGGAGCAATACACCATACACGAGGCTGCAACCGTTTTTTATGTGTAATGTGCATACCGTAACTCTTGCGTAACCAGTCCACAAACACGAATGCCGTGGGAGTGGTCGTTCGAATGCATTATTGATGTTAGCGCCCGGGTAAGTAAGGAAAGCCTGCACGTAAAGGGTGAAGAGATCAAAGGAAGCATGAAAAAAAAGACATCGTGCCATCATCGCACCTCAACTATTAAAATTGAATGGTTAACATAGTATGCACGGAATTATATATAACACATGGGCATCTCAACCTGAGATAGCAATAATTATTCTTAATGAGGCATCATTGACATGTATACGCTTGCGTGGGTGTACTACGCATCCCCTGCTCTCAACCGTTAATATAAGGCGAAACCCATCTCGTTGCATACATTGGCAAGAGATGTTGTATTATGAAGATGAGATGCGTGCGACGCCAACAAGAAAAACGTGTGAATTCAACGACCAGTATGTGCGTAGCGGGTGTGTAGATGGAACCCATATTTACGTGCACAAACCAAGTTTGGAGACGCATGCGATTCACCATGATGTTGCCACGGCACTTTGCGACCGAAGGAGCGTCTGTGAACAGCGCCCACGTGGCGGCTTACGTGACGACAACTTTGTGGTAGGACTTTGAGATTGGACTCATCATGATATCACGCACCAAATTCCTTTGGGACACTCTCCGTTTAGATACGCAACTTGAATTGAGGGGATATTAAACATCTGTTCATGCTTTCTAAATAGGAACATATTTTTTTGAGACGAACAGCCTGTCAAGTGCAGGTCAAGCATTTGCGTGCAATGGATTTAAATCTCCAAGGACGATCAAATACCATTCCGGTTTTCATAAACAAATTGGCGCCTTGTTTTGTTAGGGAAATGAGCATGTATCTACGCGTGCTACTCGGTCGGAAGCCCGATGGTACAACAAGAACATTTGTGACGATTGTGCCGCTAGGCCCAATGCCCAAGATATGTAGGAATCTGCCAAGAAGCAACGTAGAGACGTCGTTGTATCATTGACAATATGGTAATGGGGAATTGCACTTGGCCAACGTTTTCCTCAGTGCCACTATTGTATTTGCAATGATCAGAGAAGGGTAGGAACACAAGTAGTTGACCACAAATATGTGTGATCTTAGCCAAGTTGTGCGCGATTGCGGCGCAGCCAAGAACTTGGTCTCACTTAACCAACAAGCTGCGGTAGAACTTGGTTGCGCACAGTGAACGGCGACAAAATATAACTGCGTAATGCCAAATGATTGGTACTGTACTAGCAAGCATGCTGATTCGACCATATCAGCGCAAAAACGCATGACAATTGAAGTACGGTAGTGGCAGAGCCGTAGAGGGTAAATAGCAGACAGCCGGACATAGCTCTATTGGCCGACTATGTGCGATTTTTTTTTTTTTTTTTTTACTGAATATAACCAGATGAGCGTAAACGCAGTACGAGCGGCAAGTTTTGACTACATTGTTCGTGCAAAGCACGTTTTTCATAGAGCACAACAAGCGGGAACTTCATCGCCTTAATTCAAACAGATAAATATCTCAACATCTGTGTTGATAATCCAAAGCTTTTAATGAGGGGGGGAGCTTATCACAACGTAGCCCTGGCAAATGGCCAAAGTGTTGAGCTATTCTTTCCAATAAATATTGTTTTAGACAGAATCGTATACGATGCTTGATCGCTTATGAATTATATCCAACGAGCATGCAAGTTTCTTGCTCTCTTCCTTGCATAAGGTCATGCGGTAATCTTAAGGCCAAAATATTTAAATATCATAATCTTCATAGGCCGGTGGCCTTTATAGGGCCATCGCAAATCTCTTAGTAGGCTTTTTTTTATATATATATCACGATCTTAATCAGCCTCTTATCCCCACATTTGTATTTTATTTTTTTTTCACCAATAGCGATTTCTGCTTAGTGCAGCAACAGCAGTGGCTCGAAATTTCGATAGCTGCTGTCCCCGCCAGCCACGGCAGCACCCTTAGTGGCGATCCAAATAGTACCAGCAGCAGATCGCGCGATACTAGCAGCAGATCGCGCTGCATCACCAGCAGATATCGCAGTCGCAGCAGCGGATTTCGAGCGCCGGCAGCAAATCTCGAGCGCAAACAGCAGATCTCGCAGCAGGAGCAAATCGCGCAGCTACACAGCAGATCTCACGCGCCAGCCGCAATTCACGCGCGCCTGCAGCAGAATCTCGCGTGCCGGCAGCGGAATCTCGCGCGCCAGCAGCAAAATCTCGCACGACAGGAGCAGATCTCGAGCCCAGCAGAAGATTTCGGCGCCAGCAGCAGATCTCCGTGCTAGCAGCAAATCTCGCGCGCCAGCAGCAATTTTCGAGCGCCAGTAGCAAATCATGAGCGCCAGCAGCAGATTTTGATGCTTCAGCAGCAAATCGCGAGCCCAACAGCAGTTCGCGAGCCCGGCAGGAGATTCCGCAACATGAGAAGATCGCGAGCACCGCCCTTGAATCGCGGAGCGATAGTACCAGCTTTCGTAGCAACAGCAGGAGATCTCGCGGGAACAGCGGCAGACCGCACGTCAATAGTCATGACAGTGCATGAGAACCAGCAGTTGCATAGCGTCAGCAATAAGAGGAGCAGCAGCAGAAGGCCCATGAAACGAAGAAGCAAGAAGAGACGAGGGGCAGGATAATCATTGTAGCAATGGCGGATGACTAGTCGGGAAGGGTGCAAGGTTTAGGTAGGTGTGCTGTTCTAAACTCAGATCTAGAAATGTTTTTTGGACTAGGTGGCAGGTCCGTGGACCTGCCACAAGATAAGGAGCGATAGACTCCTTACTGCATTCTCCTTTACATGTCTTGTCATCATCTTTAAATTTTGAAATTTAATTCAAAAATTTTCATATTTTATCAGTGTAAATCACCCTGATACCCTGATTATCAGGGTGGTTTTTGGTAGTCACATTGATGGCCTAGGATTTTCCTGATATGCTAGGGTTTACATTTAAGGCACACTGGTGCCTCAGGGTTACCGATCTTCATAACGAGTTTTACTCTGAAACGAGTTTTACTCTGAAAACGGGTACACTGATGACACTGGGTAGATTTTCAGAAACACGAAAAACACTGATGGATCAAGGTTTGAACAAGGTGTCACACTGATAATTTGCTTTTTTAACAGGTACAACACTGATCACAAGGGTTGCTCAAACCCAAAAATTAGCCCTGTGGTGGAAGCGATAAAAAGCATGGTGGTCGTGGCAGTGATAGTTAGGGTGGTGTGGTGGTAGTGGTGGTGGTGGCTGTTGGATCATGGGGTTGGCATCATGGCAGGTGTGTGTTGCTACCTCAGCAACACCGGCTGTCATCCTCAAACTCCAGCTAGTGACTTTGTGATTGCAGATAGCAACTGGCGGCGGTTGGTTGTGTCACGAGGGGCTACAGCTGAAGTCTATGATTTTCTGATTCGCTAATGCTGTGCCTTTTGATATTTACTGGTATGTTACTGTAACTTTCAATAACATGTAGTCACTTCATCTCACAGGCATTTTCCTAAAATTATAGGTACCTCAATGAGCATTTCACGAAAGCAATGCTTTATTGCAACTCACCTTGTACATTGATCTTGTTGTACCTACTGTACATACCTGAGCTAGTGTAACAGCGATAACCTGTATTACACAAATTGTATTTCTACGAATGTGGTTTATGAATCACTAATCCACACAGAAAGTGGTGTAGCTGCATGTTCAATGATCTGAAGCAACACTTCCAGGGGCAGCAGCCATAGGTACCTGAACCAGGGAGCCGTATACAATTGGAAACAGAGAAAGAAGGAACACACAAAACTAGCAACTTTAAATCACAGCAGAACAAACAACGCAGCACAAACAGTTGCTGAAGCATGACTGATAATACCAAGCTGAAAGACCTTTCATTTTGACAGGTCTGAGCGAAGAAGCAAAGTCACCTGTTGTTGGGCTGTGTGTGGCTACTGTGGTTGTCATGAGCACTGCAATCCCACTGCCCGGTGTGGAGTGATGCCCAGCAACAGCAACAGACATACCACCTCCCATGCCTCAACAACCAACACCCGTACCACCCCCACTCACAGAAGCGAACATGCACCCTCACCTGCTGTCAGACTGTGCCTGGTTGCTGTGGCTGTCAGCAGCAGCACTGTAGTCCCACTGCCCGGTAGAGTAGTGACCCAACAACAGCAGCCGTACCACCTCCTGCGGTCCAGATTGGTTGATGAGGAGTGCAGATGGGTGGAGAGGTGTGCACACGGGAAAGTACAGCAAGTTGCTTCGATGGATAAATGGGAAAGCATGGACTAGCGAATGGGACTGAAGAACAGACGAATGGGGACAGAATCACGCTGAATGTGCACACAAGACAAGCATGCATGACCATCGAACTGAGTGACAGGCGCAATCACCATCATAGCACAGAACGGAACCACACCCACCTTGAAGCGCTTGGGATAGAGGCGGTGAGAGGCGGGTGACCAGGCGCCCATGCGGGGATACTGCAGCAAATGTTCCATGGAGGGGGGCGAAGGATGGAAGGGTTGTGTGTGTGTAAAGGTAGAGAGAGACGAATCCAGTCAACAAGGCGCTTTACAAGGTGGTGAGAAGGACCTTTACTTATAAGATACCTCATACATAAGGCACCTCCCCTTTGATGCGCGCCGGCTCACCTGGAAGACAGTGGTCGGCTTTCGCGGCGCCTCAAAGGTCAGCTCACCTGGGCACCAGTGGTCAGCTCACCTGGGCACCAGTGGTCGACCTTTGAGCTGACGCTTAGCAAAAGAGGAGGCGCCTCACAAGTCAGCCCACCTGGAAGACGGTGGTTTCGGTGGACACTAGCACCCCGGGGTGGTGGTAAGCTGCCAGCCCCACCACGTCGCTGACAGGTGGCTGGTTGCATTCGTAGCACATCAAGGCACACCATTTCAAGGCAATCCAGCAACGCTCAGACTCACCTGGAAGACAGTGGTTTCGGTAGAGACAAGCACCCCCGGATGGAAGTACGCTGCGAGCCCCACCACGTCGCTGACAGGTGGCTGGTTGCGGCGCTGCAACAGCTGCTCCAGCTGGTGCAGACGTCGCCTCAGTTGGTCCTGTGCTGCGTCCACCACGCCCCCCACCACTCCCCGCACTGTCGCACGTGCAGGAGGAGCAGCAGCGGCAGCAGCACCAGCAGCACGACCAGCACCAGCAACAGCATCAGCGGCACCCGCAGCAGCGGAAACAGCCCCAGCAGCGGCGGCAGCAGCACCAGCGGCGGCGGCAGCAGCACCAGCAGCAGCAGGAGTGCCACAAGCAGCAGGAGCAGCACCAGCACCAGCAGCAGCAGCACGAGCAGCGGCGGCAGTAGCAGCACCAGCACTAGCAGCAGCACGAGCAGCAGCGGCAGTAGCAGCCTCAGCAGCATTAGCAGCACGAGCAGCAGCGGCAGTGGCAGCATCAGCAGCATCGGCAGCACGAGCAGCAGCGTCAGCAGCAGCATGAGGCACAGCGGTGGGGGGAAGACCCTCCAGAGCCACTACCCACCGGCCATCCGCCCTTGCGACCTCCCTCTGCTGCCGCTGCTCCTCTGCTTCTGATGAGGGTTGGCGGTGCTGCATACGAGAGACACAACGAGTGGGGCGGGAGAAGGAGAGAGGTGTGATGGTGAGAGATGAAAGAGGACAGAGAGGAGGAGGAGAGAATGGAGGAGGGGAAAGACGGGGAGAGGAAGGGAGAGGAGAGAAAGGAGGAGGGGAAAGAGGGTGCTCACACTACTTGTAATGAGGCGAATTTTTATTCGACTATAAAATCGCCTCCTCACACGAGGAGAAAGAGGTAAAGAGGAAGGGAGCGACAGGAGGAGGAGAGTGACAGGGTGCTCACCACTTGAATCTGCTGCCTGGCATGGGGCGCTCGCACGTCCACAGCGTGCACCGCACTGCACCGCTCTACAACCAGCAGCAGGTGCGGGTTGAAGCAGTCAAATTGCAGGGAGAGAGGGGGCGACTGGAAGGCCTGTTCTAGTTTCACCAGCGGGGTCAACTGCACTGCTGCTGCTGCTCGCGCTTCTGAAGCTGTAGCTACTGATGCTGCTGCTGATCCGGCAGGTGCTGTTGTTGATGGTAGCTGCTGTGCTGCTGCGGCTGTGGCTGTGGCTGCAGCTGCTGAGGCTCTGGTGAATGGTCGAGCTTTTGATGGTGATGGTGATGGTTCTGCTGCCTCGGATGCACGGGGTTGGGAGACGCGGGACACGCCCCACACGTACACGGCTTGAAGCGAGTCGCTGGAGACTGCTAGTAACGAGGATGACGGGTTCCAAGCCAGGTACTGGTAAGGGAGAAAGAAAGGTTTCAAATGAGGAGAGAGAGAGAGAGAGAGAGAGAGAGAGAGAGAGAGAGAGAGAGAGAGAGAGAGAGAGAGAGAGAGAGAGAGAGAGAGAGAGAGAGAGAGCGAGTGAGTGAGCGGGTGAGAATGCATTGATACACCAATTGCACAAAAAAAAAAAAAAAAAAACATCAATACAACTTATTAGTGCACTCGTTACAAGCTAACCTGGCATCCGTGAGCGGCGCCCCTGGTGCTCCTAGAGGCCACTGGAATCCGCCTGCTGGCCATGCCACTCACTCTGAACCCACATGCTCGATCCAGCACACACACCTGCAGAGAGAGAGGGTGGAGGGTCCCAGAGGTTTCAAGAAATTTAGAAGTTTCAACTGGTGTTGCTCTCTAGGTGCCTCAAGAAAGGGAGGATGAGGGGCACGTACAGCAGCAATGTCCCCAACGCCAGCGATCCACTCCCCGTTGGGCGAGACGAGGGCGAAGATGAGCGGCATGGGGAAGGGGCCGATGGCATTGTTCTCTAGGCGCCTGTGTGGATCTGATTCTTCAAGTGCCGCACAACGTGTACTCTAAGGCACTTGAACAAGAGGAGAAGCACTCACAGCAGCAAGGTCCCCCACGACGGCGATCCACTCCCCGTTGGGCGAGACAAGGGCGAAGTTGAGCGGCATGGGGAAGGGGCCGATGGCGTTCACGAGGCGCGCAGACGTGCGCACCAACCCGCCTGCTGGGGCTGAACGGATAGTCACCGGGGCAGAGGTGCTGGAAAGGAAGGGGACATGGGGAAGGGGTTGGGAGGGGTTGGGAGGGGTTGGGAGGGGCCATGGGGAAGGGTGTAATGGGACGGGCTGGCCATCAGGAAATGACGAAGCAAGGATAGGGTCAATGCGAAACGGGCATGACACTAACACCATGCCCACTCACGGCCTGTCTGCCCACTCACGGCCTGTCTGCCCACTCACGGCCTGTCTGCCCACTCACGGCATGTCCACAGTGGTCAAGTCTCGCAGGTTGAGCTTCACATTCAGAGGCACCGACCCCGCAGGGTAGTGTGCCGGCACCGCAGCTGCTGCTGCTGCCGACGCCACTGCGGCAGCCTTGGCTGAAGCTGCTCTGCCTTCGCTCCCCTCTGCAGCACCCATGCTCAGATCCAACCCTGCACTGCCCCCACCATAAGCCGTGACAGCGGCTGTAGCAGCACCGGAGGCGGCTGTAGCAGCATCGCCAGCAGCAACCGCACGCCTCAATGCTTCCCCTTCCTGCTTCCCAGCCTCGCTGTTCTCCAGACCTCCTTGGGAGGTTCGGCACCGGGCCTCCAGGGCCATCTGCCGAGCGTCTTCCAAGCTCTGGGCTCCAAAAACCCAATCAGATCGCCCCACGTGGCGTGCCGTGGCTGGCTGGAAGGGCGGCGGCAGTGTGAAGAGGTAGAGATAACCGTTCTGGTGGGCCACTAGCATGCGCACCTGATCAGGAGGGGGACAGGAGGGACGCGGGAAGGCGGGAGGAAAAGGGGTAATCAGTAAGAGTAAGAAATAGTGTGAAGAGATAGCATGCGCACCTGTTGATGCATCAGACAGAGGGGGAAACGGAGGTGGGAACAAGGGGCAAAACCGCTGAAGATTATAACACAAGAAGGGAAAGGGATAAAGACTAAAAGGCAGCCATTCTTTGCAACCGTGCAGAAAGTATGTCAGAAAAACAATTGGCAAAGACAATCAGTGCTCCCAAACGGCCTCCCCCTCCCCTCTTCCCACCGCCAGGCCCGCTGTACACGCACCCAGTTGCCAACCGTGCCGAACCGCACAGACTTACACATAGAGGAGCCAACCAAACCTTGCTTCCCTAACAACAGTCCCCCTCCCCCTTCCCCTTCCCCCTTCCCCCCCGTCCCCCACGCACCCAGTTCCCAACGGTGCCGAAGCGAACAGAATTGCACATAGAGGAGCCAATCAGACTGCTCTCGAACCCCCCCACCATCCCTGCAGCCTCAAACCACACCCTCTCCTCCTCCTCCTCCTCCTCCTCCTCCTCCTCTGCCGCTGCTGCCCCTGCTGCGCCCTTGCCCCTGCTCAGCGGCTGCTGTGGTTGGTAGTGGTGGTGATGGTGATGGGCGGGGTGTGATGCGGTGGTGCGCTCTGGAGCGCCGTCCTGGGTCCAACCAGCTGTGGGGGGGAAGAGGGGGCAAGGAGGGAGGACGAATGATGGCTGAGGTGTTGAAAAAAATACGTAATGAGGCTAAACTAAGCCAACAAACCTGTCTTTTGTACGAGCTCTGTGCGGTGCGGATGAGGTAGAGACAGACAGTGCCATAGCACCCCGCCACCACCACATCGCTCCGACCGAAGTGTCAAGAATACATAGGAGCGAAGTGTATTCTTGACAGTTCAGGAAGACAGCTGGGTGCGTGTCTCCTATACATACCCACATGCATAAGAGACAAGCACCCAGCTGTCTTCCTGAAGAGCTTCGTCGTGAGGATGAGGTAGAGACAGACAGTGCCATAGCACCCCGCAATCACCACATCCTCAAATCGGTCGACACTGTAGGACTCCGAGGGCAGTGACGTCACCGCCACCACCCGCCGCCTACCTTGCTTTCGCCACCACCACCACCACCACCACCCCCGCCGCCGCCGCCGCCGCCGCCACCACCACCACTCGCCACCGGCGTGCGCACACACAGTGTGCCACAGGGACACGCAGTGAGAAGGACACAGAGCGCGCGCACTCACCTGTCTTCTTGACAAGCTCTCTTCGGATGAGGTAGAGGCACACAGTGCCGTAGCACCCTGCCACCACCACGTCTCCGAATCTATCAACACTGTAGGGCTCCGAGGGCAGCGATGTCACGGCCACCACCTCCCGCCGTGCCGTGCTGTAGAGCGTCACCATGCGCTGCACCGTGCATATGATTTCTTGGGAGAACGGTGGGGGCGGTGGGGGGGCGGAGGAGGAGGAAGGGGCGGAGGAAGGAGAGTGGGAGTGTGATGGTGACGCTGGTGCTGGTGCTGCATCGTCCCGGGGAGAGCTTTGTGCGGCACATGTGGAGGCTACAGGGCCAGGGCCAGCCACGAGAGTGTCGCAGCACCTGTGGGCGAGGTAGAGCAAGCAGGCACGGAAGACAAGGGGTGATTGGGGAGGGTGAAAAGGGGTTCAGAACGGCAGAAATTACACATGCGGAGGCCACAGGACCAGGGCCTGCCACTAGAGTGTTGCAGCACCTGCGGTATATGGAGCAGGCGTTATCCACCAGGTACTTGGAATCAGGGGCTTACTGGTGGAGGCGGGCTTACTGGTGGAGGCGGGCTTACTGGTGGAGGCGGGCTTACTGGTGGTGGCACACCCCCGAGGGCAGGCAGTATGTGGAGCAGGCGTTATCCACCAGGTACTTGGCCTCCTCGTGCACCTGCGCGCCCTTCACCGCGCTCCAGTCATCTACCGGGGCTGCTGCTATCGCGGACGCGACCCTCAGGACGGACCTCCTCCGCTCGTTATAGTGCGGGTCCTCAAACTCGTTATACTCATCCTCGCTATCGTCGTCCGAGTCATCATCATCATCATCATCCTCGTCAATATCATCGTCGTCTGTATCGTCGTCGAGCATATCACCCTCGTCAGTCATAACAATCTCCCCTTCCTCCGCCATCGCCGCATCCCTCGCAGCCCTCGCAGCCCTCGCTTCCATCACCTCCATATCCCCGTTATTAGCCTCCTCGTCCTCCTCCTCCTCACTGTCATCGCCACTATCGCCATGGTCGTCCAACGACGAGTCATCATCATCCGCGTTTTCGGGGTTCACGAGGTTCACGGGATTCACGGGGTTCACGGCACGGTAGATCATGTTAAGCAGCTCCTGTGTCGACCGAGCACCGCCTTCCGTAACCGCCGCTAGCGTCTCTCCAACCGCCTCCCGCACCTCTCGCGTCGCCTCTCGCGCCTCTCGTAACTCTCGAGCCACCACTCGCGCCTCTCGTATTTCTCGCCCCAACTCTCGCGCCTCTCGCGTCGCCTCTCGCGCCGCCTCTCGCGCTGATTCTCGCGCCTCTCGCACCGCCTCTCGCTCCAAGTCTCGCTCCTCTCCCGCCTCTCGCGCCACCTCTCGCGCCTCTTCCGCCTCTCCCCGGCCCCTTGCGACTTCCCCATCGTCTGGTTCGGTCGGTTCCGCCAATTCCATTTCGCTACCTTCGCCAAGCCTTTCGTGAATCCCGTCGGCGACACCTGCTGACGGATCTGTGCCGTCTTCCCGGCTGGGCGGATCCATTTCTACAAATGCTTCGACTGAAATGCTGGAGCTCAGATACTACGAGATGCGTCGGCTAAACAATACTGTTTATGACTGGACAGCGTAAGTCGGTCGGAGGTCGGGTGGATCGCCAGATAATGTTGCTCTCGCGATGGGAATCGTTTGAGCTGTGAAGATTAGAAATTCCGGAGAAAATCGAGAGAGCCTGGACGGGTCTATACTATTAGCGAAATGCAAACGACGTAACGGCTACAATCTGCAGCATCCTTGCCCTAGTCCTCGCCAAAACGTGAAATTGACAGAATGAAGAAGCTTGCAGAGCACGACATCCAAGACACACGGACATAACAGCCTCTTCCTCCTAGCTATCTCTTTAGCTATCACTCTGGCAATGGTTATGACCTGGTTTGCGCGAACTGAATGCGACACGGTAACAACATATAAATTCCTTTCGTCAGCTGTGACTGTGCGGACCTGATTTCGTTGCGAGAGATGGCAGAAGAGGCATGCAGGCGAGTCAAGCGTTGGGCCCGTGTGATTTGCTCTGGGCTCTGCACACCTAGCCACTGCCATTGGCTGCACAGTAGTTGTGCATGCCACGACAATGATGCATGTGTTGAGGCCACTTAGCGAAATAATCCATTCTGAAAAAATAGCCAAAGCTTCACGAGAACAGAAGAGAGCGTCTCCTTTTGTGAACACGCCCTGATATGAAGTTGCGCATTCGGTCTTGCTTTTGTTTTCACATTGAGCCATTGTCATCAATCATCTTCCTGCATTATCATTTCTCCTCCTCGAGTTTCTCTTCCTGATCGCATGGCGTTCTTGGCAAGCTTAGATTCACGGTGAACCTTGAGTTCTTAGTGGTAGAGTCTAGTGTAGCGTTCGTTATTCTTAATCGAGTTTCTGAATGATTTCGACAGTTTCAGTCGCTTCGTCTTCCCGCATCTCCCGGCACCATTTCCGCCGCTCCGTCCGCTCACTACCCGCGCTCGCCGTCACCGTCGCGTCTATTCTCTTCTCGGACCGCTCGCTCTTCGTTCCCGCTTCCCCATCGTGCGCCGCGAAAAGCGGGTCGCATAGCGACAAGGGTAGCAGCGTGTTGGGGACGGAAGCGACGGAGTCGGCGACAGCGACACGAGAGGGAGGCAGCGGCGCAATAGACGGGGGAGGAGATACGGATTCGGAGTTCTGGGAGCGCGTGAGGCGGAGCGAAAGCATGAGCTGGACGTGCCATGGCGATAGTAACGCCGAGATGGTCGATAAGCTGCTCCGTGCGTGAATATTCGGATCTATTTCGATGCGAATAGCCTTATGCTCACGTCCTTATGTGTCTTAACATTGAAGTTTTCTAGACATTCATGCAGAAATTCATGCAGAAATTCATGTCAAAATCCATGTAGAATTTCATGCAAAAAGGTCTATTCTGACATATGATACAGCAGCCTCACTCTGCTCTCTTCGTTTCCTCTTCCCAACATTCTCTTAACCACGCCTGCCTCTCCCTGTTCATGTTCCTTTCCAGGCAGCGGAATTGTCCAATCAGAGCGCATCGCGGAGGCCATGAAGCAGATTGACCGCGCTGACTACGTGTTGACCAAGTCAACGGCCTATGACGACTCCCCACAACCCATAGGTGAATAGTTTATCATACGGGCTTTATATTCCTGTTTGCATGTGCGGTATGAATGCGAGTGTCATGTGCGGTATGAATGCGAGTGTCATGTGCGGTATGAATGCCGAGTGTCATGTGTGGTATGGCTGACGTGGGGTGGCTGACGTTTGTTACTGCATACCTCTGACGCCCAATGTTTTCTACACTCTTTTACGCACTTCGTTTACCGCTTGTTCATTCTTAAATCCCCTCTGACTTACATGCGTGATGGTTTCCCCATGCCATTCGTGGTATTATTGCATGCCAATGTTGACATGGGCTGTGCACTGTGGCGTGTGATGTGGCATGACATGTGGCATGGTAGGTGGCATGGTATGGGGCATGGAATGTGTCATGGAATGTGGCATGGTATGTGGCATGGTATGTGGCATGGTATGTGGCATGGTATGTGGCATGGTATGTGGCATGGTATGTGGCATGGTATGTGGCATGGAATGTGGCATGGTATGTGGCATGGTATGTGGCATGGTATGTGGCATGGTATGTGGCATGGTATGTGGCATGGTATGCGGCATGGCATGATGGCATGGAATGTGGCATGGTATGTGGCATGGTATGTGGCATGGTATGTGGCATGGTATGTGTCATGGAATGTGGCATGGTATGTGGCATGGTATGTGGCATGGTATGTGGCATGGTATGTGGCATGGAATGTGGCATGGTATGTGGCATGGTATGTGGCATGGTATGTGGCATGGTATGTGGCATGGCATGATGGCATTCACCGTGCATGAGCAGGTTTCAACGTTACCATATCGGCACCTCACATGGTACGTAACCGTTCTGAATGCTGCTGCGTAACCGTGCTCGCCCTCCTTCCACACACTCCTCCCTCCCTTCCCTCTTTGACGCAAACTCCTCACCATTCCATCACGCCCCACCATCCCTCCCCCAACCCCATCCCCCACCCCACCCCCGCTCCCTGTCCCCACCCTCCCCGTCCTCCCCTGGCCTTTCCGCTGCTCTGCCAGCACGGCTACTGCCTTGCTTTTCTCGACGTGACACCAACTCAGCTACCAGTCAATCCGTTTCTCCCTTCCCTCATCAGCTTCCCGTTCTCACCATTCTCCACCACCCCCGACCATCCCCCATCCCCCACCCCCTCTCGCTCCCCCTCCCCCTCTCCCCCAATCCCCCCTCCCGTGGCCCTTCCTTCCCCCCACCAGCACGGCTACTGCCTGGCCTTTCTTGAGAATCACCTGCAACCCGGTAACCGCGTGCTGGACGTGGGGTCGGGCTCGGGCTACCTGACAGCTGTCATGGCGCTATTGGTGGGCCCCACGGGGCGGGCGGTGGACGTGGAGCACATTCCGGAGCTCGTGGAGCGGTCCCGGGCGGCAGTGAAGGCCGGCCGGGCGGCGGAACTGATGGACGGCGGACAGCTGTCGATACACGGTCGGTTGGCATGTACGGGATTTGAGGGGGACATGTAGGGGCGGAAGGGGGGTCGGTTGGGAGAAGGGGAAGGGGTTGGGGGGGGAGGAAGGGAGGGAGCGGGGAAAGGGAGGGTTGGGAAGGGGGAAATGGAGTGGGCACTACTTGTTGTACTTCTTTCCTTTGCTGTCCTGTTCCTCTGCTTCATCCTGCTGCTGCGTCCCTGTTTTTCTCACACCACGTGCCACTTTCCCCATCCCCAATTACCCTCCCCGTGGCTCGTAGCTGTTATTCATTCTGTGCTCGTAGTTGAGAATGAGTCTCAAAGCGTCCCTTGGGACTTGTCCTTCTTGTCCGCCTCTTCCCTACCTCCCTCCCTCCCTCCCTCCCTCCTTTCCACACACGCACAACCTCTTTCCGCTAGTCTCAGCACAGCTCTGCTATCATTTCCTCTCCCACTTCACCCGTCCCTCTTCTCGCCTCCCTCGCACTCTCATCCCTCGTACCATCTCACACATCCCTCCTCCCCCTTCCTTCCTAGAGGCGGATGGGCGGGATGGGTACCCGGAGGCGGGGCCATATGATGCCATCCACGTGGGGGCTGCTGCTGCCGGTGAGACACTGTGCCAGCTCTGGCCGGCTCTCTGCATGCTCTGTCGCTCTGCTCTGCTCCCCCCTCTCCCTGCTTTAATGTTTCCGCACATCCACACTCTTTTCCTTCACCCCTCCCTTTCCTTTCCTTTCCCCCAACCCCTCCCGTTCCTTTCCCCCCACCTTTCCTTTTCCTTTCCCCCCACCCTTCAATTTCTTTTCCGCCTACCCCTCCTTCTCCTTTCCCTCCACCCCTAATTTCCTTTCCCCTCACCCCCTCCATTTCATTTCCCCCACCTCTTTCATTCTTTCCCCTCCACTCCTCCCTTCCTTTTCGCCCCACCCTTCCCTTTCTTCCCCCTCCCCGGCCTTCCCTTCCCCCCCACGCCCTTCCCTTTCCCCCCTCCCCCCCCCGCCAGAGCTCCCCCAGGCTCTGGTGGATCAGCTGAAGCCGGGCGGCAGAATGGTGATTCCTGTCGGCCGCTTCATGCAGGTGGGATGGCAGGCGGCGGGTAGGGGGGGGAAGGGGGAAGGGGGTGAGAGGGGTGTGGCGGGGGAGGTTCAGGGGGGATGGCAGGAAGGGGGGAAGCGAGCACTGTAAGCAATGGGGGGAACAAAAGGGAACAAAATCAGGGAATGTGGGGTGCTAAAAGAATGCTCTTGAGACGTCTCAAGGTTCCACTTGGTTTCTGAGGACTTGAGAGCTGTTCATCCTGTGCCGCCTCGGATTATGTCCCGCGTTCGTACCCCTCTCTCCCCTGCCACATCTTGCTTCCCCACAGGACCTAGAGGTGGTAGACTAGAGTGCGGCCGGCACTGTCACGTTATGAGGCGCCTCACACTGCATTCCCGTCTTCCTTTCCCCTCCTCTGCCCCTTCTCCCCTGTCACGCTACCCCTCAGGACCTAGAGGTGATAGACAAAGGTGCAGACGGCACTGTCATGCTTCGAGGCGCCTCACACTGCATTCCCGCCCGCCTTTTCCCTCCCCTACCCTCTCTCCCCTGCCACAACCTTGATTCCCACCAGGACCTAGAGGTGATAGACAAAGATGCAGACGGCACTGTCACACGCACGACAGCCATGGGCGTGCGATATGTGCCGCTGACCGCCAAGGAGAAGCAGCTGGGGAGGGAGGGAGTGAGTAGCGTGTGAGTGAGTGAGTAATGGAGGGAGAGGCCAGTAGGGTGGTAATAAGTGATTAAAGCACGCCAGCCATGGTCGTGCGTTACATGCCGCTCATTGCTAAGGAGAAGCAGCTGGGGAGGGAGTGAGTGAGTGAGCGAGTGAGC